AAAATAGAGTCACAACGTTATTACGGTCATTTAAACACTAAAATCGCAAGAAACGGAGACGGGTCAATTTCGCGGTTAAAATGAAAAAAGTGGGATCCGCATTGAGAAATCCAGAATTAACCCCAAATAAAAGTCCTAAACAACTCTCGGAACTTGTGTACCAGAATGGAACACAATTCAGGACTCAAGACAGTCCCAACATGAACATGCAACAAAAAAACCCAAATTCTACGCTAAAAATCAGCAACAATGGTAGCAACTACTTACAAGAATTTACCAAAAATGAAGGTCCAACAGCAAAAATCAATCACACCACGACGATCCTCACAAACCCCCCCCCCCCACCACCACCACCACAATATAGGCTCTTAAATCACTAGATTCGGACCTAAAATGGCCAAGAAATCACCTTCTAAAAGTTTTCCAAAAGTGGAGCTCGAAAATGAGCTATGACAGCAGCTAAAACACAAAATTTACCTCAAATCGGGTCCTCGATCAGATTCCAAGCTCACCAATGTGTTGCCCTCGAAAAATCACACAACTTAGCCTTTTGAATCGCCAAATTTGGAGTTCTATAGCTCAAAATATTGAAATTTTAAAGTAAAACACAAAGGCTGAAAATTGGATTTTTATAAGGACGAAGCTGGTCACTAATAAACCCAAAAATCTGGTTGTTAAAACCCCAATTTCTGATCGTTAAAGGGTTGCACCAGATTTCAGCTTTGCCTACTTTCTCTAAAGTCTCCGACGGATGCTCGGAATCCGTTCGAAACCTGATAAAAATAAAACAAATATGCTACCCTACCAAAGTCGACATTTGGGACTCAATGGCGCAGTCGAAATTTCCATCAGAGGTCATCTTGATAAAATGTGGGTCCCACTTCCATTGGCCATTTTAAGTCAAAAATCACAAAAGGGCTCGAAAAAATATCAAAAATCTCAAAACCCGAAAGAAGGGTCAAACTAGACCAAACTCGACATTCCGGAGCTATCCGCGCTGACGAAATTCTCATCCGAGCGCGTTTACTCAAACTGATGACAAAAGTCAAACTTAGCCTTTAACTTAAAGTTAAAACGCCTTATCACACCTACTCACACTGAAAACTTTGGGAGTCATGTCGACCATGTTACTAGCCTAAAATGACCCTTCAGGAACTGATGGAATCGTCAGAATTGAATTCTGATGTCATCTTCTTGAACTTTTGATAAAAAATGATCGTTCAAGGTTCATAAGCTCCAAAAATACTAAAGCTCACACAATAACCAAACGAATGACCAGGTGACCGATCTGTCAGTCCCAGCAAGTCATAAATGACTTGGAATCGCTATAGGAACGCTCTAAATGATGCACAGAAGATAAAACACTAAAAATGACAAGAAGGGTCATTACAGTCGATTCGTCATTATAAATAATTCAATCTCTAAATACTTGTCCTTGTGATAAAAATGAAGTAGAATATTTTCTGACTATAATCAAATTATAATTAGTAGTACTCCACTATTTATATCAATTCTTTTATAAATTGATGAAAGAAATTTATGGTATCGAACATTGGTTGAATATTTAGCATTGTGTTTGGGAGGACAATTACAATAAATTGTATTTCCATCACATATAATTTTGTCATTTCAATAAATCAAAACTCTAACTTTTGAGGTAGAAGACATTTTTTTGTGATTGAAATGAAGAAAAATACAATACTAAAAATGTAGAAGATGTTATGTTTGAATGTCCTTAAATAGAGCTTGGAGGAGTTTTCAGGAAAAAAAAATACATTATGTAATATTTTTTTTCGTTTTTATGATATGTCAAATAAATATAATTATATGACAAACATTACAAAAACTTCATAAAGCGAAGTGTAAGTTTCACCTTATAAAGTGTAAGAAAAAACTTCACTTTAATTTACAAAGTGTAATAATTTTGCTATATATTAAAATAAATATGTTATGAGACTAACGGAAAACGTCTAGAAAATTGAATAAAGTGAATTTTTTTCTTCCACTAAGCCTATTTTAGTTATATCTTAAAATAGTGACTTATTTTGATTATTTTCATCTTTTATGGCTTATCTAATTTTCGAACTTTATATATATAATGTGTATTTACAATATAATATAATGAGAAAGTCTTTCTAGGTTCACCTACTTCCCTTAAAACATATGTAAAGACTTATAATCGACGCTTGTTTTTTTCCTTAATTACATTATAAATTTTTTTCGGTGGCCATGATTGCCTTTTAGTAATCAAAAACTAAGGCATAGTCTCTACAAAAGCAAAGATAATAAAAGATTCTTTTAACAATAGTAAACATAATAGATATATTTTAAGGGTTATACTATAGTTTCAATAATTATGTCCTATAGCTATATTTATGTATGTTTATATATTTTGGCTGCGAATATTAAAATAGGGTAAGTGTATACAAATTTTATATTTATATATTTAGAAATTTTTTCAAAACTCCATTTGTATATTTCACTTATCAATATACAAACAGAGTAACCTTTTACAATTTTTTTATACGTCATATATAGCATAGATAAGCATATACAAAATTTTGAATTTATACAACCAGAAACCACATAATACAAATTATAAATTTATACAAATCAGATGAATAACAAGATTAGAAAAAACTATAGCTGCAAATTAGAATTTTTCTAAGCAGTAGCTATAACACTTAATGTGATTTAAATGTTTACTATTCTATACTTTTCCCAAAAAAACAAATAAAATAAACCCGAATACTAACATAAAAATTAATGTGCATCTTGCATAAATCCATCTACTTTAGATTCTAATTACTAGGATTCTTAATACTTTGTAATATTACTTTTAATATCATATATAGGCCTTGAGATATATGTATCATTAATCGTCAAATATAAGTATTCGACAATTTTAAATATCGAGATACATACTTAATTAATTCAAATGGACAATTAATTTTGCAAATATTAATCAGATCTTTTAATATAAGACGTAAATCAATGAGTGTATCCATGTTTAAATAATTTTATTTTATCACGCTTTGAAATAATAAATTCATTAATATTATTAATAAAAGACAAAACATGTATATCTTAGTTATATAATCTGATTAATTTCATTTTATTACTCTTAAAATAATATATATTTATTAATTTGATGTATCTATTATAAAAATATGATGTATCCAATAAAATAAATACTTAGAAATATGAATATACGATATCTAGTACTTTAATTTCATAAATGTATTTTATATGTATATATCTAGTATTAATTTAATGTATCAAATATTAATTTTAAACGTTATATCCAAAAATATATATCTCGAATAGATGGTAAACATATACATCTAATTATGTGTATCTAAGTACTGACACATAAATTTAGAACAAATCACCAAGATATATTTTGTTAGATACATATACACCTAATACCCTTCGTATCTCTCTCCTCTTCACAAGAGACCAACACCACCTCCGTTGCTCGTTTTCTCGCCCACTCTTCTTCTAACCCTATCAAATAATGAAAGGAAAGGGTCAAAATTATCCTCAAGTTTATTTTATTGATTGACTTTACCCATGTTGTTAAAAGCAAACAATTTTTACCTCTGTCTCCAGTAAACTTAACAAATATATCCCTTCTTGGATGAAAACCTCAAATCAATTAAAATTGCTCTTGATTTTTTTTTACTAAAATTATCCAATTTTAATTTGATCCACTTAATAATATAATCCATTTCTTTTACCCAAATCAACTTTGTTTTTGCAAACATCACCACTCCCACTCAATTCGTTGAAAAAAATATGGCCACTGTGTCGACGGTCATTAACACATGGGTCTCCTTGAAGAACGGAGTCTAGGGTAAAGAAAGAAAGGTAGAGTGGGTACTTTAGAATATATCATTGTCATATTAAAAAAAAAATGATATAACCATTAGCTTAATAACTGTAATATTAAATTGTTGCGGTCACTGGATTATGAAAAATTGACGTGTTACAACAAAAAAAAAAACTGTGGCAGTAGGACAATGATAATATCATACTTAATATTATTTATTGTTAGAATAATGGTCATTATCATACATTTTAACTCTTAAATACATAATAATATATTATAGTAATTTTGACCCTTTTCCTAATAATGAAACAAGAGAAATAATAAAGTAAAACTAAGAAGGCCGGTCCTAAAGTGACTGGCCCATCAACAAATAATACTTGGGAAGATAGATTCGATCTATCTAATATGTATAGATGTGCTTGTTTAGTTCCAAGGCTATCCATAAAAACCGTTGACCCTTTCATTGACTACCTTTGGGTAGATATGGCACTACAACACTGGGAGCCTCTTCCCGTTGCATCAACTAATAAACATTAAGTCGATCTGAAGCCTCTTAAAATTATTTACATAATTCATTTAAAAATCTTAGCTACGGTTAGTATCTATTAAAAAAGTGAGATGACACGTCTCCACTTCTACACAAATTAGTACTGTCCTGATCTTCTGATAGATGGACATCGCGGTACTTGAACCAATGAGGCCCTTAAAGAAATTTTATTGTACTAGACGCATTGTTGTGCAGCTGCTTTTCTTATAATTCAAGTTTTCTTTTTTTTAAAAAAAGTTAAAGACAATGCTTTAGAAAAGAAAAAAAGGTAGACCCTCACTATAGACAGACCTTTAATAAACGATATATAAACAGAGCCCCTTGATTAATGTAATCATGTGAACCTTACAAATGTAACTATAGTTTGTTATATTGTGGGAATTGCGGGTTTTGTCTCAAATATAAATTTTACTTCATTTGAACTTTAAACTTTAGTTTTGAATAAAACTGCATATGTTTTGTAGGAGTATTAAAAATCGGCATGTGTGAATTACTCGACTTGTGGTGGTATCCTCACACCTTTCTTATTTTCGTTTTCATAAGGCTATTTGAGTCCTATTTTTATTTTGCAGATTATTAAATTTTTAATAACGAATTGAACTATTCTGATCAGCTCCAACATTAGCACACAAGGAAAACAATATTCATATAAAATAGGATGGATTACAAAACAAATACCAAAACCAAACCACATTCTGGAGCCAGTGATTCTTTTATTTTGAAGAAAACATGAAGCAACTAGTCGCGAGATAAGTTAATTAAAATTTCCGAATTTTTCACATAGAAGCCACTGAAGTGGGATTAACCCTGCTACAAACATCACGAATTTCCAATTGAGCGCCGGCGGAGGGGGGCAAGTCTCCCATCTTGATCATGGCAGCAGCAAAATCTCCAAGGAAAACGTTCACATCGTTGCTATAATCCGTTACAAAACCAGCAGTTGTAGCATCCCCGGTCAAAACTTGATCTGAAAACATTATGCCTTGGTTGCTGTTTAAGTTATCGTAGTAAACTTTGTCGAACATAGTAGGAGTAGTATCCAATTGTTGCAAATCAGAATCAGTTAGCGTGGCGGAGCAGTTGCATTGGAGTTGTGCGGCAGGATTAACGTTACCGCTGGTGCAAACTGTGGAACACCTGGCGAAACCTACCGTGTGTGCACCAGCTAGTGCAACCATTTCACGGAGGGTGAAATTTTTGTCGCTGAATTTCTGTATTTGGACTGTTAGGTTGTCGAATGGAGCTGGAAGTTGATTTATAGCACCACTAAAGTTGGCAGTTCTAGCATCGCTTCTCCCTAATGCAACGCTATAAGTTTGTCCTCCTAACTGTCAAATACCAATAAAACAGAGTTTGAGTTAGCCCAAGTCAATTTCTTTGTCATATCATCATAACCTAAATAAATACAATGCTTCATCTATTAAATGTTAGACGCCCACAGGCGAGGTGTCACAATTTCCACATTGATTGTGGATGTGGAATTTGGTCATCTCTTTGAACATTTCTCAACTTCCACGATGACTTTAGAGTTTGATTAAATATCCATTTGTTACTATTCGTAATTAATTTTGGTAGAAATTATCAAACTGTAAAATGAATGATAGACTTACTTTAGCAACAGAATCACGAGCAGCAATAGCTAATATGTCGGCACAAGATACAGATACGTTGGGGCATGTGTTTATGACACTTTGTTTAGCTTGTGCTATTACTTCATAACCTCTGGCTGAGTTGGCGTTGGGTGGTGAGTTTTGTTCCCCTGTAAATGTTCCATTAATATCATCTAGCAGAATACCTCCATCACAACCCTTATTTTTCGTAATAAAAAAGAAAACGAGAGAGGTATAATTAGTCAAATACATAAATCAACTGCAGAAGATCTAAAATAAAATAAAACTGGAAAGCAGACTAGACTTTTCAAAGTTTTTGGAGTTCATGTAGAAGCAAAATGTGTGCGAAGATATTTTACTTGACGGGGAGTTCAAAAGAAAAAGTATTTTTTTTTTAAATATTTGCGATTTAAAACAACAAGTATGGCATTATAATTTTAATTTGGAGTTCGTAGCCTCAGATCTTTCAACAATTTATTTATTTATGAAAGAAAAATATGATCATACGGCCAGGTTTAATTAATAAGAGGAAAAGGACTCGGATTCAATTAATATGCTACACCTAACATTGTACTCTTTTTAGCCTGTCTTAAAAAATGATATCCCTCTACTCTTTTCATTTCAATTTAAGTAGTCCCTTTAACCTATACCCGAAATTTTAGAGACACGCTTATACTATACTAAGGTCCTATTATTTTACTTAACTTATTTTATTAATAATTTTTTACTTTTTTTCGGCCTACGTGACACTATCTTGTTGGCCTTACGCAGGTTGACTTTTTTTTCAAGCTAGGTAGAATATTACTTATAAAATAAGTTCAGGGGAGTAATAGAACCTTAGTATAATATAAGTGTGTCTCTGTAATTTCGGACATAGGTTGAGAATGTACTTGTGCATTTTCCCTAGTAAAGTAATTGACTGCATGCATTGTGAGTTCAGGAAAAACTGAAAGAATTTTCAAATTTGTTTGAACAAGCATAAAATATTTAAGTGACTTCAAATAAAATTTTGTGCATAATCAAATACGATAAAAAAAGAGCGAAGGAAATATATATTTACATCAACGAAGCAGTCATGAAAGTGGAGACGAATGAGAGAAGCTCCCATGCGAGTTTCTGCATCAATAGCACTGTCCACAACTGCTCGTACAGCTGAGAAAACGCATGCCTCCGGAGTTAGTTGCTGTCTCAAGTACTTGTCTGAATTTCTCTTCTTATTATTATTTAAGGTTAAAATACTGGCTACGCCTGATTCCAACGAATCGAAATCTGGAGAAACATTTTTGAGGAGTGAACCGTTTTTCATGATGATGGCTTCATAAGTATTTCTATAAATAGCAACACCTGCAAGTGCAAGTGCCACAAAACTCAATGCAAGACTCAAATGACTCAAACGAAAACCCATCACTTAATTTAAATGTCTATCGAGGAAACAAATTAAAGGCTTTCGATAGGGATGATTTTGCTTTTATTTATGCCTCTATTTATATAGGCAGGTGAAGACTTATAATTACTTGTCAATATTACTGTTATTATTAATTCATCTTTGAATTATCGTGTAATTACAAACTGAGAATTGATGTTTCATGTGAAAGTGACTTTTCTTTCTTTTCTAAAGTTCTAGCTGTGTAACGTGTGATGTTTTCTTAGCTATATTTATCCGATAATTATGTCAAATGTCAATAATTTTCTTTCATGTTGTAGTCACAATATCGATTTTAAGAAGGAAAGATAATTTCGAGGATAGATTTATGTTTCTTTTCTCATTTGGTGCAAAGATATTAGTTCTTAATTGACGTTAATACTTGAGTATAATTATTAACGATCCCTGCATTACTAGTTGAATCGAGTTTTACGTATGTGAGAGAGCTAATCAAAATTAAGGAATTAAGTATGGATAAATAAATCAAAGCTAAGATATCAATTCTGAATTTACAGCAATACCTTTGACAAACATTACTCCTAATTTTTCAGTTGAAATATGTTAGTCATTGAGTTGGTTTGACATTGTTATGTGAGTACGTCATACCGTGAGAAGAAAAGTCTTTAAATAAAAGTTTCCAACTTAGAAAATAAGAAAGCTTGTTCCTGTATATAGTTGACAAATAAAATCTTCTCTCCCCTTTTATTAGTTTCCGTGGAAATTCGTAACGCTATTCCTCTATGTGTATCGTCTATGCAATAATTAACTCGCTAAATAATTTTTTTTGTCTCTATTTCTCATTTCATGGAAAATCATAGGCCAATAAATTTTTAACTATACGTATATAAGTTTGTATGAATTGTTATTAAATGAGTCAAAAAATATTCATTTTTTAAATAAATATATTTTTTTTAACACATTATTTTTCTAATAAATGTTTTTTTTAAAAAAAAATTGTTTATCCTACTTTAATTTGGAAAAAAAAAGATTTTCTTATTTCAGTATGATTATTTTTTATCGTTAAACAAACATAGTTAATGATGGATACATTATAATCTAATAAATTAAATATAAATTTATTTGAGCGACTATCTTTATCATATTAGTATAGCTGAAATATGTTTTATTATTTTTTAATGGAAGTGTCAATTTATTGTTTATAAGCTTATACTAGTCAATTTTATTTTTGGTACGTACATGACAAATACATTTATGGTGATGAAACACGCATGGTGAACACCAGGGAGAAAGGAGAGTGGTTGATTTATTTGTCCTCTTTTCTTATATTATCATCTCAAGAAAATTATATATAATCAAGTGACATGCACTGTTGAATTGATCACTGATGTTAGAAAATTATTGGGGTGCTTGTGTATCTGTTAAGTTTTAAAAAATAATGTGTATAAATGTATATTTATCTTGAGAAATTGATTGAAAGTAAAGTATATAATTAATAATGCACCTATGAAAAATATAGAAATACTCTTGTGTTGTTGGTACAAAGCGAAAGAGTCACCCACAAAACCAAAATTTTGAAAGAAAGCAAAAAATTACTATCAAAATATATATTGATAATATCTCCAAATTAATTTTGGTGTTTGATTGGACAAAATTTTTTGAAAATATTTTACGCTCTTTAAAAATAAAGATGTTGTTAGTTTAATCGTTTTATTAATATTAAAAATAAAAAAGTAAAAAAATAAATAAAAGGAGCCTACTTGTCCTATTTTTCAAATTAGAAACTTATAAGTTATAAGACACTTTTAAGCTCAATTTTCCTATGGAACACAGCCCTTTGTGTTTGTACTTTTCTTTGGGTTATATGAATATTTTTGTAGCAATATGTTAAAGACTTAATGGTCTAAATTCCAAACCTAATTTTTCGTCGAATAATATTAGTCTATCTTCTAGAATTTGGAATAAGCACATGGTTGCGTATCAGACGAACTCTTGCTACCGATTTCCTAATTACTATATGGATTAAGAAGAATAAATTGGATTAAAAACACTGCGAACATAGGGACATATATATTATTGCATCAATACTGAAAAAGATGAAAACATGATGCGACAAATAGTAAGATAAAAGCTACTTAAAATTTCCGAAATTTTTCACATAGAAGCCACAGAAGTGGGATTAACCCTGCTGCAAACATCGCGAATTTCCAATTGAGCGCCAGCGGAGGGAGGTAAATTCCCCATTTTGATCATAGCAGCAGCAAAATCTTCAAGAAAAACAGTAACATTGTTGCTATAAGTGGTTACAAAACCAGCAGTTGTAGTATTCCCAGTCAAAACTTGATCCGAGAACATTATCCCTTGGTTGTTGTTTAAGTTATCATAGTAAACTTTGTCGAACACAGCAGGAGTTGTATCCAATTGTTGCAAATCGGAATCAGTTAGCGTGGCGGAGCAGTTGCATTGGAGTTGTGCGGCAGGATTAACGTTACCGCTGGTGCAAACTGTGGAACACCTGGCGAAACCTACCGTGTGCGCGCCAGCTAGTGCCACCATTTCACGGACAGTGAAATTTTTGTCGCTGAATTTCTGTATTTGAACAGTTAGGTTGTCGGATGGAGCTGGAAGTTGATTTATAGCACCACTAAAGTTGGCTGTTGTAGCATCGCTTCTCCCTAGTGCAACGGTATAAGTTTGTCCTCCTAACTGTCAAATACCAATAAAATAGAGTTTAACTTACTATTGATCATATGATATAAGTTAATTAAACATGTAGTGTAAAGCTAAATTAAAAATAGTAACTTTGACTAAAAATTGAGCAATGGACTTACTTTAGCAAGGGAATCACGAGCAGCAATAGCTAAAATATCAGCACAAGATACAGATATGTTGGGGCATGAATCTACAACACTTTGTTTAGCTTGTGCTATCACTTCAAAGCCTCTGACTGAGTTGTTGTTGGGTGGTGAGTTTTGTTCCCCGGTGAATGTTCCATTAATATCATCTAGCAGAATACCTCCATCACAACCCTGTTTTTTTTTTCCAAACCAAAAACATAACTGTAATTAGTCAATTATATGTATACATAATTAGTTACTCTATTGCTTCAATTTATATGGATGTGGTTTAATTTAACATGAATTTATTTAAAGAAAAAACAAACCTAATTAGATAAATAATCCTACTATATTTACTAGTTCTCCTTATAGTTCAAACAAATTAAATATTGTCTTACTAATCAATAATTTTATATTAGATTTTAAGTTAGATATTGTAAAATCATATATTTTTTTTATCAATATATTAATATAGAAAAAGAGCATGCTAGATAGAATGAAAATGAGTAAAACAGACTATTTATTTAAGGTATATAAAAATGGGACTAGATTTATATATATCTAAAATATGCAAAGAGAATCGAGCAAAAGAGAAAGTGATGAGTGAGATAAAGGAGATAAAGTTGCCCAAAATTAGCCAAGTGGCTGATAAAAAAGAGTTGTAAGGCAGAAAAAACTAATAAGAAACTGTTCATTTCACAAATTACAAGAAGATGGTACCATTCATGATGCAACTTTACAACTACTACACTAATAAAAACCCACACAGTTTTCATAAGCATGTTTTGAAATTCGTTCCGTCAGATTTTTCAAATAATTTTACGGATCACTTTCCTTTCGGACCACTTACACATATTTACATTAAATAATATTATATGACCATGGTCCATGGAGCCAGGTTTTTACTTTTAATTTTAATAAGAGAAAGGAGGACTCGGATTCAATTTATATACTACACCTAACATACTGTTTTATTTTTTTAATATGTCCTCAAAAATAAAATAAAAAATCCGATCTTTCTATTTTTATATTAAGCGTTTAGTTGTAAGAGATTTTAAAAGTTAAAATTAAAAAATTTAAAATTTATGATAAAAAATAAGTAAATACTTATTCATACGATTATATCAACCTTAAAATTACATTATTATAAAATATTGAGCGGGAGAAAAAGGACGAAAGAATATTTACATCAACAAAGCAGTCATGGAAATGTAGACGAATGAGAGAAGCTCCCATGCGCGTTTCATTATCAATGGCACTGTCCACAACTCCTTTCACAGCTGAGAAAACGCAAGACTCCTGAGTTAATTGCTGACTCAAATATTTGTCTGAATTTTTCTTCTTATCATTTAAAATTAAAATACTGACTTCGCCTGATTCCAACGAATCGATATCTGGAGAGATATTTTGGAGGAGTGATCCGTTATTCATGATCATGGCCTCATAAGTATTTCTATAAATGGCAACACCTGCGAGTGCAAGTGCCACAAGGCTCACCGCAAGGCTCAAAAGGCTCAAACGAAAACCCATCACTTAAAGAAATTATTAAATGTCTATTTGGAAGAAACAGAGGCCTTAGGGATGGTCTGTTTGCCTATATTTTCACTTCTATTTATAGGCAAGTGAAGACTTACTATTGGTCATGAATTAGTATTATATGATTAATTTACTGCTTTAAATAATTGTGTGATTACAAAATCAAATTTATATTTTGTAAAATAAAAATTACTTTTTATATTTGTTTATTCTTTTGCGAGAATATCGTGATAAAATATTCATACAATATGATATGATGATATATATAGTTACTACTAATGTTAACACATTCAATTTTATTAAAAAGTAGTACACTACAATTCAAGTTCAATGTTACTTTTTTTTATTTTCGCTAAAGTTTAATTAATAAATATTATATATTTTTAAATATAATTTTGTGATGGTATATTATACTTTTGTTTTATAAAATTTTACTTATTTATAAGCTATAAAAAAAATTGAAATGATTTCATTACTTATAAAAAATTTATATTCATGAGCAAAAAATACAACCTAAAAATTTAAATTATTTAATCAAATAAAATTTCAATTTTATCTTCTATTATTTCATATCCTAATTCATTTTGACGTGATCAAAGAGTATGTACTAAAGTAGAACGGGGAAGACACGGTAATTTGGTGGACCTATTTGATTCTTTGTCCTGTTTTCTCATATATATTATTAATATAT